GTAGGGCTGGGCTTCAGGTTTGCTATTTCATGCCATTGAAAACAAAAGAAACACACACAACAACAACAAAACAACCAGTCAACCACAGATAAGTCAAAAAGAGAATACCCAGCCAACCAAGATAAACTGCCAAGGGGTGCCTAGTTGACCATGTATCTTAGTGCACTTGTATTCATGGCGAGGCACAGACGCCGTCTGGAGGTGACAGGTTCAATTCCCGGCACAGTAACTACAGCTTTTGATTTTTATGTTGTCTAGTGTGTTCTTCTATCTTCATACTTCTTTCTATGAGTGCCGTTCACAATACTTTTTGTTACTTGATTAATTCATAATATTTAACGGCCTCAAACGGTTCCCCCCTCTGTTTATTTATAGGAATGACATATACACACCGCAACCTACCAATCAAATGCCTTTCTTAAATGTTTGTGTATTCTAGACAAAGCAATAAGGTCTTACAGTGTTCGTCAATTGTTGCTGTGATTGTTATTCGACATTTGCTTCGTTAATATAAATTTCTGTAACCTATGGTGCCATTTCAATGGGTTGAAATGAATTCTGTCCGTATTCCAGTCATGGATTTCAGGCTGTACGATAGACATGGCCAATGAGACACCTTTTTTGGGGGTGCCTAGTTGACCATGTATCTTAGTGCACTTGTATTCATGGCGAGGCGCAGACGCCGTCTGGAGGTGACAGGTTCAATTCCCGGCACGGTAACTATAGCTTTCGAATTTTATGTTGTCTAGTGTGTTCTTCTATCTTTCTACTTCTTTCTATGAGTGCCGTTCACAATACTTTCTGTTACTTGATTAAGCCAACCAAGATGGGGGAAGGCTGTTCTAATAGAAGAATGATGGCTCTGTGCTGAGAAAGCCAAAAGGAGTCTGGTTTATCATGCACCTCCTTTCACTTAGGAATATGTCCGGAACTAGCTCCAGCTGTGGTAAAGAAAAGAGATGGCATCTAATAGGACACAAGCTGAGAAAACCTGATAACAAGAGAACAAGAACGTCTTTGCATTGGAACCTACAGCAACATAGAAACAAAGGCAGACCAAAAATATAAGAAGAAGGGAGCAGTGAAGTTAAAAAGAGAGGGAGGTCATGGGGCGAGCTGTATGCAACAGCAAAAGATAGGATGACTTAGCATAAGTTGGTTGAGGGCCTATGCTCCATCAGGGGATAGAGAACATAGAGTGGCTTGCTTCACTTCAGAGGTTTTGGACGGTGAGCATCTTTTAGATTTTACCTCCAGAGAATGCTGCTGTGCTGGGAAATGAGTAGGCAGACACACTGGCTGGGAGCCGCTGTGATCTAGCAGCTAGACACTCATCTGCGGATCAGAAGGTCGTGGGTTTAGTTCCTGACGTGGGCCTGACTTTTTTCAAAAATGACCTTAGCTCCCAGGTCGACCCAGCCTTGAGCGTGTAGCAGGACGGCCCTGGGAAGTAAAGGCGGCCGGCGTGATGCTGACGACATCACCCACAAAGTGCCGTTTGGTCTATAAAATAGCTCTATATACTGAATGGTGTGGAAAAGGGTCCTTTACTTTACTTCACTGCATCTGCACAAATGTTCAGCATGACAGGGAATGACTACATTTATTAAAAATAGCATTTATTTATATAAATTTCTTCCTGTCATATTTTGTTCACTGGCTACAACAGCTACAGGGTCACATGATCAAGTAAGTGTCAGGCTATCATTAGTTTACAGGTCCTGAGAGATGTTAGCTATCAGATTCTTTGCCACAATTCTTTTTACTGTAATCATTACTTTCTATTAACATCTATTCATGTTTTGGATGATAAACTGAATCTGTGTAATATTTTTTGTTGTTGCTGTTATTGACATATGTTAAATGTTTTGTGTGTGTGTGTGTTCAATTCATTTTTTTTCCATAGGGGAAAATTTAAAAAAAAAAAAGGTATGGGATCTTGCCTTTTTTTTTTCTAGATCATCAGATGAAAGGATTAAATCCACCAATGGAGCATAGGCTTTCATTGCGCTCAAACCAATTTGTCCTATTCTTTGCAATCACATGCAGCTGGCCCCGATGTCTTCCACATTGTATTCATCTTTCCAATTCTCTTCTCCATGTGTATCTTGTTTCTTTTAAAAGGACAGTTGGTATATTGTACTGAGGTTTACAGCTTGGCTGCAATATCTGCGCTGTTCGGGTGAACATGCCCGATTTAAGGTAAAACTTTAAATCAGTCGCCTTTCACGACAGTCTGATTAAGGGGCAGTTGATCTATTCCCCAACCTTTCAAATGAGGTCCAGAATCCACATGGGAAAGGATACTCAACTTTATTATCAAGATTTCTCAATGTGTCCTATCTACACAAGCATATCTGACTCATGGAAGGGAACCTTAAGAAACGTGAAGCAGAACCTCAAATAACAGCCATATATGACAGGAAGCTTTGATCTGACAGACAGACAAAATAACTAAAACATATATGTATACATATATACATATTTCACTGTAGATTAAAGTATTGTGATAATCATAAACATCCAATTATACTTCGTCTTATGCCCCGAATCAGAAAATGGAACCTTAAGAAACATGAAGCAGCTACTGCAACCACAAACAAGACCCATACAGTACCAGAAGTTTTCATCCAACAGACAAGCACCAAAAAGACAGGCCTAAGCAGGAGATGTTACAACCAACTTCTCAAGGGAGGATAAGCACCAAGATGACAGGTCAAAACATGAAACACTACAACCAACTTCTCATGGGAACAATCAGCAGATGTACCTTGGAGTGGCCGCTGCATCAGAGGACTAAGTGATTAGTGATTAGTGTTTAGACAGGATTATTATCACAGCACTCCGGACAGATCCATAGGTGCTCCGATCTCCTCCTCAAAAACTCCACAAGTGTAAAATGACTGATGTCCCCTTAGTAAAATATTCATTTCTTGCAGCTCCAGGCTGCACCCCCATGTCCATCAGTCTAGACAGGGATATGGAGTCATGTCCTTTGGCGTGCTCCTCAGTGCGGTAAGTGCAGCTCATGGTATTGATAACATCACTTCTGACCAGTAATGGGCCAGCCATAGCAACTGCAGTGTCAGCAAGATAGTCTGCACGCTCGTTCCCTTGAACACCCGCATAACCTAGCACAAAGATGAAGGTTAGGGCAGATCTTCGTGAAGTGCTTAGTGTTTCAATCCATTCTTGCCTGATAAATCCAGCTTGGATTTTTTTAAGCATATTCGTCGAGTCACTAAGAATGCATATGTGTGTGAACTTTTGAGTACCAAGCCATGCTAAAGCTCCTGTTACAGCCATAGTTTCCATTGTATGACAATGTAAACAGGGGAATGACCAAGGTGCAGTGATATTGATTGTGATAACAACAGTAAACATCACACTGACCTGTTGATGAGAGAAATGACAGCATTGAACACGTCAGAGTAGAGACCTATGACAAAACCATCCAGACACTCCTGCGGTGTTGACTGACTGTCGCACGGTAGGTAGGCAGGTCTATCCATGGCACCAGACACTCTGAAATCAAAGAGAAGGCAACACATGTTATTACTGACTGTCCAATGATATCTCTAATGTGTATTCTTCTTCAAATAGTCCAGTTGTGGTTCTCAAATCTGTGTGTGCAGGGAAGTGTGAGCAAGATGGGAGACAATAGTACAGAAAGAGAGTGGAAGAGAAACAGGAGAAAGGAGAGAGGGACAGGGGGAGAAGGAGAGAGAAAGCAGAGACAGTGAATGTGGTAGTGAATCTGGATCACAGCTCAAAACCCTCAGAATTGTGACCTTTCTACAGACTTCAACTTGGTGAAACACCACCACAGCATGAGACCCAGACAGTGATCCAGTTTTTCTATGGCAAGGGTTAGTTTGTAATGAACGATACAGTTTACTATTTTGTCACAATACAGTCTTTTGAGTCAACTTCAGAAAAGGTATGTGACATTTTGTATTATGGCGGTTGGGGGGGGGGGGGGGGGGGGGGGGGGGGGGGGGGGGGGGGGGGGACAAAAAGTAGAGTTAAAAAAAGGTTCTTTTGTCTTCTGCATTCTTCTTTAACCCTGCCCTCCCAAGAAAGCCTGTTTTCCTACTTTTAAGGGTTTTTGATGATATGACATTTTTAAGCAGTGGCCAAAATGCCTAAGTAACAGCTTTTGTTCTGGTTGTGACTGCACTGTGTGTACATGTGGTAAGAATGATTTTATATATATATATATATTTTTTTGCTGTCTCAGTGAAAACCGTCTGTTTGGTCAAGGGGGGAGGGGGGGGGGGGAACAGTTATTTCTTTGCTCTGTTTGTATTTTGTGACTACTTCCATTTATATATTATACAATTAAAAGAACAAAAAAACTTTGCAGAAAATACTGACTCTAAATATGAAAAGTCTACCAATTAGTTTAGTGACTTGGAAGCCGTTATAAGACAATAGCTAGCAAGCTTGCCTAGCTGCTTGGTGGTCATTAGTTTCAACTCCTTGAATTTATACAAAAACTTACCAAGACTAAAAAATGTATTATGCTTCTACTTTTCTTCCTCTAGTTTCTTAGGGTAGAATTCCAGAGAATTATAACAATGCATTTCCTTTTAGCAAAATTTTGAAGAAGGATATTTTTAAAGAATTTTACAGGACAAAAGGATTGAAAAGGTAGCTGCCACAAGGTGTTGTGGTTTACACAAGGCTGCATTTCTGCAACATTTGACCCAACACATGCAATTTCTGCTACACCTAACTAGCTGCTGCCTTTCACAACATGCAAACAAGCTCTATCCACTATGCTACCAAGGCTGACTTAAAAAAAAAAGAGTGACCAATTAAACTGATGTCAAGGCAACCTTTGAAAACAAAAAAGAAGACAAAGGTGTGTAAAATCAGGATTCTTTAAAAGTCGCAAGAATAGACAGACAGTTCATGGCCTATCATTTTTAAATCAAATGCAGATAGCTATAAGAAGAATTGCAAGACATAAGTACAAAGGATAACAACAAATATACCTGAGAGAGGCACTGCGGTTAAGTGTAGAAGTTCCTCCACTGGCAAATATGCACTTGATCAGTTCTTCAACAGTGGTGCCCAGCAGTGCTGCAGCTTTCTGAGCTGCTGCTGGCTTGCCAAACTGGGGCTTATTTGTATTTCCTGTAACATCAAGAGGGTGAGAATGTACTAACTACTGGTGCATAAACATTGCATCCCACTAGTGCCAACAGATTTGGGTGGAGGAGCACAATGGAGAAGATACTGACCTTTCTAAGGGTCAGAAAATAAAATGCAAACATAAAACAAACAGCTGTGGTAGAGCAGACCAGGCCATTAGCCTAGACTGACAAGTAGATCACTGGTAGAAGAGGCAGAGGCAGACCAAGAGAAATGATAGTGGATGGCTAAAGACAGTGGCATGGATATTATGAGCGGTTTTGATCCAGAACACCAAAGACTGAGATCTGTGGAGACGCATGAATGCCTAAGCAAGCTGGCAAGGCACTTGATGATAATGATGATAAGTAGTCTAGGAGAGGAGATCCAAAAGATAGAGAACTGCTCTTCTGATTCCGCAGCTTCTGCAGCATGCTTTGTTTCAAAAATACTGTGTTACCTTTCCTCTGGGGTTAACAAAGCAGGCAAACTGAGGAGTCATGATGAATGGGCAACACAGGATCTCTACGATAATGTCCAGGCTTTGTACTACGAATAGGAAGATCTTCTTTTCTGGCCTTAAATGGACTGTCAAGGGCTGTGACTCTCATTCGTCTTTATAACACAATGGAACACTATTATCTGGAAAGATAAAGAGGCCCCAACCAAAACACAGCTAGCCATGCATGCACGCACACACACACAAGGTCAGAAATAATCATCATCCTTTTTTGCCATTATATGTAGGGTTTGTAGTCCATTTTTCCCTTCTGTTCTATCCTGTCAATTTGTTTCAATATAATGGAATCTATACCAGGTCCTTAGCCTCTCTCTTGCCAACATTCATCATCTTGCCTTCCCTATCAATTTTCTCCCATTGAAGTCTGGTGATTCTCTGTTCACTTCTCCTTAGAATGTGCCCCAACCTACTCCAACATACACAGCATGTAGTTTACATATGTGTTCAACATAAACTTACAAATGAAAAGAGACACGTGTCATATATAATTAATAGTACTGTATGTGGTATAGTAACATATGCACAGCACGTTGTCATAAAATCAAAGAGGTCTTAGAAATACGAGTATACAGAAGAATGCAATGCATTTCATGGAAACAACTGTGGAAGCCCTACAAAGGTTGGGAATTAAAACTAGACCTGATGGAAGCTGTTAAAAAAAAAAGGGGGAAATAAAAAAACTAGCCGGATTAAAAAGACATCACTTTCCTTAACTGTTACATGGCCCCTGCCTTTCATTCTTCTGTTACAGATATCTTTTTTATGCCATGTTGCCAAAGTGTTCAACCTCTCTCTCTTCATGTCCCTGTGCCCCTGTTTCCCTCGAACATTCATGCTGTCAAGATATACCCCAAGTGATTCCCAGACATGATAAGCTCAAAGAATGTGGCGTGAAAGACATGACACTAATTGCATGTATAATGAAAGAAAATATCAAAGGCAGGCATAGGCAAACAAAACTGACAGAAAGGCCCCTTCCCAAACTCTTCTTAATCTGCCATAAAAGGCCTAAGGGAAGGTTAAAAAGATGACAGCGGGAATAAGTAAGACATAATAAATGAGTGGCACCTTTGACAGCTCCTGCATTTCCCAAGTGGTAGATAGCGGCTAGTACACTGACAATAGCCTTCACCTCATCGTTGGTGATGCCCACAATGTCAAATGCTTGCAACACCTTGGACCAGGCCTCTGATGCTCTTTGCTTGTCCTCAGGCTGTAAATGAATGCAGACAAAGATGTCAAAAGGCCACTGTGGTTTCAATAAGCACTCCTCGAAATATTGCTTCACAACTCTGAATTCTACAAACAGCTCTGGGACTGGGCAGAAAGACGCACCGGTGAGGATACTCACATCAACCATCCTCAACTAGGGCTGGGTGGGGGGGGGGGGGGGGGCCTTATGACCCCCAAATGGCTTTGTCAAAGCCAAGATGATGTCAAATTTTCCTGTAAACCTCAGTGCTAGGTCACATGGTTACCTCATAAGTCTCCTGATACGTATTGTTTTCACACCCCAGGGAATGTATTCAATTTAGTTCTTCACTCTGCTCATGTATACTGATTTACCCCTTACATAAATCTGTATATATCTCACATACAAACAATTACAAAAGTATATAAATACATTTTTTAAATGTATTAGTGACCTGTGTGAAAAAAAAATTGTAAAGGATTTTTTTCTGGGATCTCCCATGTGTTCATGATGCATTTTGTGTGTGTGTGTAAACATTTGTGAGGCTAAAGATGTAAAACTTCACTCTGTAAGCATTAAGCAGAGACATTGTGGTCCAGAAGTAACTAAACTAAAAATTCAGAAACAAGGAGTTAATACTACAACTATTTGTGACAGAAGACAGCAAGAACACCCTATTTTCTTTGGAAACACCAAGAAATGTAAGGTAAGTTGCTTGGCATACTGACAGAGGTAATCATGATAGCTGTTAGCAAGTTTTTCAGATCGGTCTCATACTTCTTGTTTACAAGTTAATCCAGTGAAATGTGACTAAAAGGCTTAACGAAACGGGGAAACAGAAAAACCTCTACAAAACAACATAATACTTGACTGCAGTCAATCCCATATTTTCACTACTTCTTGATTAACTTAAAAAGATGGTTGGCATGTTGTGGTGTGGACATATGCGCCGTTCGGCTAAACCCATCCAGTTTCAGCAAAATCCTTATTAGTCGCCTTTTACTATATGCTCGTTAGAAGGCCACCCTTCATAGAACCCATACAGGAAAGTCTTTTACTAATGCAAACAACTGGAAAAAAAGAGATGAGAAAACATTTCTCCCATATTAAAAGATATAATACTCTATTACAGTGGTTCTCAACCTTCCTAATGCTGCAACCCTTCAAAACGGTTCCTCAAGTTGTAGTGACCCCCAACCATAAAATTATTTTTGTTGCAACGTCATAACTTCGTTTTCCAATAGTCTTAGGCGACCTCTGTGAAAGGGTCGCGACCCAGAAGCTGAGAACTTCTGGTCTGTAAAAACCTGTTTGTAGGGAGAAGTTAAAGGTAATGGAGCAAGAAGTACACAATGGCACAAGGGAGGTATAGTATTAGTTGACTGACAAACAACAGCTTGAAAGAGCAGAGAGAGGGAGAGAGAGGGAGGGAGAGAGAGGGAGGGAGGGGGGCGGGAGAGAGAGAGAGAGAAAGAGAGAGAGACAGACAGAGAGAGACTACTACTGGCAATCTACTGCGGCCAACATTCCTCGTTGAGACAGTGTCTGAGTGGTTGATCAAGAGTCAGACATACCTTAGCAAACATCAAGCCTACTCAATAAACAATTTAAGTGATCTTTGTTTATCTGAAAATCTATAGGAATATGGAAACCCAAAAAGCCAGAGATGGAGAAACTAGACACAACTTCACTGACAAATAAATGACCATACCCACCTTTTGTGGAGGTGTCATATACAAGTTGGATTCTGCCAGAGTTTGCAACTGCAACTCATTTCTGAAATAAAGGTCAATATTATTTCTGCTGTGTCACATACAAGTAGCTCTTTCATACGCATTAGTAAAACAATGTTTATGTATGCATAGATATAAACATGAGGTTGTGAAGGGTATGTGGTTGGTAAGTTTGATTACCACAGAGTGGGCAGTTGTTCCATTAACTCTTTCTGTTCCAACCAACATTCAGTGTGTGTTCATCTTTAACTCTTTGAGTCCCAGGGGGTTTAGCATCACAGGCCCAGGGGGTAGAAAATAGAGTCATAAAATTGGCGCATCATGTGTTCATTGGGCTTCTAGGTAGGAACCTATGAACGTATGATGCGTTCCTTGGAACTCAAAGAGTTAATCAGTGTGTATCAAACAACAGTGTGTAATTATATATTTTACATTTGGTTTGAGAATGCTAAATATATCTGGTTAGTTATGCTAACAAACAGTACATTATATTATGGCTTTCTAAAAGTAACACACTCATGCTCTTTTCTTTATGTTGTTATTTCCTTAAGTATTTAAAACAAAATCTTCTGGAACTAAAAGTTCAAGGGAGCAGAATGACATGATTGTATGCATGAACTAAATGAATAAATATCTGTAACTAAAAACAGAACAAACCACACCTACAAATATGGTAAATGTTGTAATTACAAAACCTATCAACATGTTGCAAATGAAAACAGAATACAAGAACACATCACAACTACAAACATGCAAAACAATGTAACAATGAAAAGAGAAAACACGGCCCTACAAAAATGCTATCTATTGTAACTGAAAGAAGAAGAAAAATCACATACAAAAGTCTTGCTATTCCTCTTTTTCAGCATTCTGAGCCCTTGAGGTTCACTGCAGCAGATATCACATGCCTCCATCTATCTTTCTGATTAGCGTGTTTCTCTCCAATTTGTGACTCCAACTGTATGTACAATTATCTCTCCACTGTTTTGTTAGCCTGTGTCGTGGTTTACCAACTTTCTAAGCTTTTGTGTACAATTTGTTTCTGTTCTGGTCTCTCTATTTTGCCAATCTATATGCTTCAGCCATAAGTTTGTTGTCTCTATATTTGCCATTCTCTCTATAGGCCCCAACCTTTACAGTTTATTGTCTATCATCTGCCATTCTCTCTATATGCTCCAACCATCACAGTTTCTTTCTTTCTATCATCTATTCTCTCTATATGCCTCAACTATCACAGTTTTTTGTCATCTTTATCATCTGCCATTCCCTCAATAAGCCTCAACCTTTACAGTTTTTTTGTCTAGCATCTTCTATCCTCTCTATATGATGATAAATTTTATGATAGGATAATAATTCGCTTATAAAAGAAGATGCGACCATATCAGTGATAGGACAGGGGAGTGCAGAAAAGTAGACGAAGAATAGGAAGTGAGATAGACAGAAAGGAAGATTGGACAGCAAAAACAAACATATACAGATGACGGGGTGGGGGCAGAAAAAAGAGAAAAAAGGGAGAAATGAATTGAAAGAGAGACAGTGAAGAACAGAAAGCATGCCAAGAAGTGGTAGTGGGGGGGGGGGGGGGGGGGGGGGGGGGGGGGGGGGGGGGGAATGAAAGAGAAAAATAAATGGTGGAAGTCTTGTGGAAGACATGAGTCAAAGAGACAAGTATTCAACTCACCTCAGGGTGCTATCAGCTCCTGCCAATAACTGGTAGAAAATACTGAAGGTTGGTTCTCCCTCTGGCCTCCTCACCACCCTCGTCTTCTCAAACATCAGTGCCTAGGGAAACAAATCATTCACACGCATGAGCTTATCCTCCTGAACCTCAGTCTCGGTCACGACACAATACTGTTCTCTATTCCCATTAGGCTGATGACTTTTTTTGGCCCAAACATCATGAGAAGGAGGGAGATGAAGCTTCCAAATTTTGAGCCAAGACATAGATTTCCAGTGTTGTCAAAACGGAAAATGTTTACGTTGAAGTTAGAAAGATACTGATGTGATTTCAGTAGAATATTGTTTTGAATGGAATGAAGTATATTCACTATAGACATTAGGCTTTTTTCCTAAACCTAAAGGGGTTCTTCTTCTGCCTTTTTTTGCCCCCCCCCCCCCCCCCCCCCCCCCCCCCCCTTCTCGATAGAGCACAGGCCTCAATCAACTCACGCCAAGTTGTTCTATCCTTCGCTATCACAGGCAGCTCTCCCCATCTTTTCAATTTCACTTTCTAACTCAGTTTTCCATGTTTTTTGGTCTTCCTTTATTCCCGGTGGGTTCCAGTGCAAAGACAGTCTAGGTATATTACTTTCAGGGTTTCTCAACGTGTGTCCTATTCACTGCTAGCATGTTGTCTTCCCCTTTTGGTCCAGTGGAATTTGTTTCTCTCCCAAAGCTCTACATTAATGTAGGTGTACATTTTTTTTAAATGACATAACAGTTATTACGTACAATGTCATTAAACTATCTTCCAAAAAAAAACATCTAAGAAGACATTCAATGACTTCTACAACAAACAATTCAGAAGAAATTAGATGTAAATTATGATTTCCAGCTTCATCTGGTGATCTTCTCAGATAGTAAGTCATGATGGCTAGAGAAACAATCAAATGAGTTTTTAAAAAAAAAAGACTCAGAATGAGAAGAAAGTTGCTGATGGAGATAAAAAAAGAAACAAGTGCAATACTATGGCTATATTTAAAAAGACAAAACAATCTTATAAAAACTTAATTAGAGAGAAAAGTTGAATGCAAGTGGGCAAGAGGCAGACAGTGATACCAGTGGGAGGATGGCCTTCGCTTATTTACAGGGTACATGAAGATGATGAGTTGTGAATTGTGTATGCACAATACATTGTAATTCTTTCAGTACCCAGCAACTCAACATGACTTCATTCATTTTTATATCTATTATCTACTTTTCCTGTACTCCTTCCAGTTGTTACGATAACCTACTTTGCAATAGGTGTCACAGTAACCTACTCTGCACCAGTTGTTACAATAACCTACTCTGCATCAGTTGTTACAATAACCTACTCTGCACCAGTTGTTACATTAATCTACTCTGCACCAGTTGTTACAATAACCTACCCTGCACCAGTTATTACAATAACCTACTCTGCACTAGTTGTTAAAATAACCTACTCTGCACCAGTTGTTACAATAACCTACTCTGCACTAGTTGTTACAATAACCTACTCTGCACCAGTTGTTACAATAACCTACTCTGCACCAGTTGTTACAATAACCTACTCTGCACCAGTTGTTACAATAACCTACTTTGCACCAGTTGTTACAATAACCTACTCAGCACCAGTTGTTACAGTAATCTACTCTGCACCAGTTGTTACAGTAACCTACTCTGCACCAGTTGTTACAGTAATCTACTTTGCACCAGTTGTTACAATAACCTACTCTGCACCAGTTGTTTCAATAACCTACTCTGCACCAGTTGTTACAATAATCTACTCTGCACCAGTTGTTACAGTAATCTACTCTGCACCAGTTGTTACAATAACCTGCTCAGCACCAGTTGTTACAATAACCTACTCTGCACCAGTTGTTACAATAACCTACTCTGCACCAGTTGTTACAGAAATCTACTCTGCACCAGTTGTTACAATAACCTATTCTGCACCAGTTGTTACAATAACCTATTCTGCACCAGTTGTTACAATAACCTACTCTGCACCAGTTGTTACAATAACCTATTCTGCACCAGTTGTTATAGTAATCTACTCTGCACCAGTTGTTACATTAATGCCTTCTCACCTAAACAGTTATTATTTGAATAATTTCTCAGAGATGGACAAGTTAACTCTTTTGGTCTCAGAGGACATACATCAGTGCATATTTATTAAACTAACAATTTCCATAACGTAGGACAGTTACATCAGTGATAAATCAATGCATGATGCATTCATCAGTATACATTCGTTAAAACAACAATTTCTAAGGGCTGGACAAGTTAACCCTTTAAATAATCAAAGCAATGTTTCCCCATTGTAAATTTGAACAAAGAAGAAACAAACAATAGATTTCACAATTTATTGTCTGGCATATTTCGCTGTATCTTGTTAGGTGCATACTACAGTTACAATTACATTAAATTACATAAATGAAGCAGATAAGTGAATCTTTTATAAGTGAAGTACAAATTCAACAATGATCAAACATAACTGCCTTATTTACCAGGGCAGCCGCAATGTCAGAACCATATCTTTCTGTATACAGAGTTCAGAGCGCAGGTGACAAATTGCAGCAGCTTCTAGAAATCTTAGCATGTGAGACAGACAATTACATCAGTTACAAATAAATGCATGATGTGTTCATAAGTAAAAGCAATGCATGATCGGACCTGAAAAGTTAAATCATGATGACATATTATCTTTTAAAAGATTTTAGGTCCAGAATGTTACAAACTATGCATGAGAGAAAGTTACCTGCACTGAAGCGGAGCCAATCTGGCCTGAGTGATCAAAGTCGATAGTAAAAATCTGGGTAAACCTGCTGGCGTTGACATTTAACGATGTCCGGCTGTTGCCAAAGGCATGCAGAAGGGTGTACACAGATACCATCTTCTCAACTGCCAACAAACAACAAATCTATGTTAACAGAGAATTCTTCACAACTGGTGTATGGACACATTTCTGCTGGTCTAGTGGTTTAAAGTTTCATGCCTTATGGAGCCAGATTTGTAATAATCTGTGCCCCCGAATAAACAGAATCCATACGTTTTAGAAAATGTCCTTGGAAGTATATATCTATCACAACTTCAGTTGTGGAAATGGGATATTTACTTGCTGTTGAATACATTTCAAATTTGCACAATAAGCTGATTCATCATCATCATGTAGCAGGTCCTTTGCAGAAGGTCACTCTCATCACGATCTGCCTAAAAGAAACTCCATCTCTCGCCAGCTCTCCCGCCACGTGCATTTTCATACCCAATGAGTAACTTTTATCCTGTGCCCATCTGCATGTTGGTCGGCCCCTGACCCTACTTCATGGTAGCAGGACTTTTACTATTATTTTTTTCTAATCTGGTGTGGCACCTGTAAATATTTCAGCTTCCGAGACAAGATGCTGTTTTTTTTAGCTAATCTTCCTCGATGTTAGGATCTTTTAGAATGTCAGAATTTCTTGTCCATGATAAGTTCCTTGGAACAATATTGTGGTAGTTCCCCTTGCTTTCAACATCTACATGGCTTTAGAGTATGCCTTTTAGCTTGCCAGAGCAAAAGAGTAATCAGCAGATTAAACGCATTTTTAAAAAAAATGGTTACTGGGATACATGCAAACTACACACTGGGATACATGCAAACTACACACTGGGATACATGCAAACTACACACTGGGATACATGCAAACTACACACTGGGATACATGCAAACTACACACTGGGATACATGCAAACTACACACTTGGCTATAGAAACAATTAGTCGGCTCTTTAAGAAAACCAAAGTCAACTAAAACGACTAAACTAAACTATTAGGGGAAACTCATAAATACACAAATCAAACATCCATAATTATGCTAAGATAATCTTCCTAAAAAACTAACAGAGATATACTCATTAATAAATTTACAGAAACACTCATCTATACATTTTCACATACGCCAATAAAACACAGATACAAAGAATACGCATAACATATAAATCTGCAAATGGATACACTTTTAAGAAATCCTAACAGATACACCCATAAAATATAGAAACATTATAAATATCATCATAACAGACACACTCAAGTGCCACCAGACTGGGAGAAATTCAGCAAGTCTTTGACATTTTCTGATGCTCAGAAAAAAGGACGTTAAACACAGAAAAGACACTCACTGAACACTTTAAACAACTCGCAAAGGAGTCTCAGCCTATGATCTGGGGAAATGTTTGTTACGAAATCGGCTACGAAAAATCTCTCAGAAAATTCTGGTCTATGCAGATGCTATGAGAGGCAGACACAAACATGCTCCAAATCTACCGACACAGTCAACAGTGATCACCTGTAAAGACATTGCTAGTAGTGCCTGCGGCTGTAATCAGGTAGTGCATGACATGCTGGGCATTGGTAGTCTTGCCACTCCCACTTTTGCCCATCAGAAGCAAGGACTGATCCCTCCTGCTGTTGAGCATATCCCTGTACAGTATCTGAGCCATGGAGAATATGTGAGGAGGCATATCCTCCTGCTTGCAGCCCTTCAGAATTTGAACTACCTTGTGATCAAAAGGACATCAATACAAATTAAATAAATTAATGTCTGTAAAAAGAGAGATAAGATGTCTTAAGACCGCTGCAGGTGTGACAAGGAGAGATAAAATCAGAAATAAAGAAATAGGACAACTAGGACTGACACCAGTTGTACAGTTCATAAAAGAACAACAAATGAAATGGTTTGGCCACCTGACAAGAATGCCCTGGTACCAACTCCCACAGAGAGCCACACTAAAGAAATATAATGAACACAGAGGAAGGGGAAGACCACGCAAGAGATGGAGTGACAAGATCAGGAGCAACCTAACAGAAATGAACAAAATACTTGTAATATGCACCGTAAAAAGCACACACAAAATCCTTACATTTCCCCCACATCTCAGGTAAATGGTGGAAGAGAAGAAGAAGAAGAAGATTATCACTAATGGAAGGTAAGTTAACCCTCTCACCTCAAGAACACTTTAATTTCTTGAGGTAAAACGTCCTTAAAATAACAATTCTACATAAGTGACTAATAAATTAGTTAAAAAACATTATTTATTCACATTTTTTCACAAAAAATATAAAGATATATGAAGGCAGTCATCAATAAAAATGAAAAAAGTGATGCATTAAAAGGAATACATTCCCTGGGACCCCCCACCCCCACATTTCCTAGACCCCCCCCCCCCCCCCACAAACATATATATATCTGGTGATTCATGGCATCATCCCATGACTCTATCACCGGAGTTTACAGGGAACTAAGTTGCTCAAAGGAAGATTCCCTTAAATGCTTTTATTAGTTAATGTTTTCATATCATGACTTTCTTACTGTTTGCACACATACAAAAGTCAGAAGCATTAACTATACTTCTCGTAAACAGGTCACTACAGACAAGTCAGAAAAGTGACATTTACAGCAAACTAAATGGAACCAGAAGTGTCGGTTTGCGGCTTCTCAGAACAACATGGTTAAGAATGGCATTATGAATTATGACTGATATTGACACATTGGCTGCTGCCTTATGCATGAAATGGGTGTGTGCATGTTGTTGGTCTTGCTAGGACTATTGCCTCTTCCACTTTTCACATGGGACAGTGACCAGCATTTTAGATGTTTTTGCAGGCACAGAACATTTCAATTATGATGTGATCTGTTGCCACGAAGCTGACTAACAATAAACACTATTATTATAGTATTTAGGCTTTTCCATAAATGCTCTATCCCTATCTTCAGCAGTCAGTGTAGATTTCCAATAATAATAGTGTCAGTTGTAGTTTGATAATATGTCCGTTTTTGCCTTCAATTTGAGCACTCAGTACCTTAACAAACTGTCTGCTCACTATCATATCTATAATTGTCTTTCTAGACCAAGGTGATGTGTTCATTCTTCAACATTGTTTGTTCCCACCATATATCCTTTCCATGCATCGATTTATAACCCAGTAGTCCAGGGTGGCATTAAATCTTGTGCAAGAGATGGCAGAATATTTACCCCAAATAGACAACACCTGATGTATATCAAAAATAGGAGGTCAAGATAATATGACTGTGTCATCATTTTAATTTGTTTCTGGATTCTGAAGTGAAGTAGCAATGTCTGTGGGTAACCGGTCATAAACATATTTTCATTATTCTGACATTCTGCAGATAATTTGGCATCAACTGCTTTGCAGTGAAGTCACCAACAATGTGTGTGTAGACTGCTAACAAATCAAGAGCAAAATACTGAACATAGAAGAGCCCAGTAAAACCTCAAAGAGCCAACAAATACTGGGGTTGGTTTGGGATGACCAGTAAAAAATCTATAACTATTTGTTTAAAAGGGCAGTAAAGTATTTGTGTTGTTGTGTTCATTGAAAAAGGTCTTGGTGTGTGTCTTTCCTTGGTGATCACCTGAGTGACCGTAAATCGGCTCTGAGCATCCACAAACATTGCATTAGAAGAAACTAAAGGAGTTAACTTATTTGGGGATAATTAAAATGTGCTCTGCCATTTTCTTCTCATAAAAGATACAGAAAACAGTGGTTCATCGCAAAAAGCTCAAGAAAAAAAAAAGGGACAGGCAGAGACTCCAAGATTGTGAGACGAAGCAAATTGATATGGACAGATTAACATACAAAGTAGTACAGTGACAGAGAAAGGTAGAGGGACAGCAAAATACAAAGAGAGGTACAAAGATAAAGACTCATCAACGTGCCCAAAAAAAATAACTGACATAAAAACAAACATAAATGAATGTAGAGATGCATATGACACAGATGTAGACAGAAGGATAGAGACAGACAGACACAATTAGGAGTATTATAAGGCAAATAAATAGACAGCAATACAAGGAAACAGACAGAGGGGGTAGGACAAAATCTATATTCAGGCAAAGTGAGACAGAAATAGAAGCACACAGACAGCCAGAAAGAGAAGCAGAAACAAGGTCGCAAGTTTGGTGAAAGATGCGCAAAGAGAAATATCAAGAGAAGCCGAAAGAGGAATACTAAAAGAGGCACAAAGAGGAACACTAAAAGAGGCACAAAGAGGAACACCAAAAGAGGCACAAAGAGGAACACCAAAAGAGGCACACCAAAAGAGGCACAAAGAGGAACACCAAAAGAGGCACAAAGAGGAACACCAAAAGAGGCACAAAGAGGAACACCAAAAGAGGCACAAAGAGGAACACCAAAAGAGGCACAAAGAGGAACACCAAAAGAGGCACAAAGAGGAACACCAAAAGAGGCACAAAGAACAAGCAAACAAACTTTACTTTCAAAGTCCCCAACTACGCAGGCCCATCTAAGATTCTGCCTTTTTGGCGTCACACCTTACATAAGTCTTTCGTTCATATGTAATAAAAAACATGATCAACAACTTCAAAGTCTCAATTACAAACATGGAACAAGAGAAGCATACAAAGGAACATAAAGATAAAGACAATGTGAAATACATCATATACTCACAGCTCATATTCTCATCTTCCATATGCAATAATGACCCCATACTCACAAATGCACCAAATAAGTAGAATGCTGACAACAGACTGAAAGGGTCTCACAGGCATACCTTGTCACCATAGACTGGCAATTGTTGCATAGGGTTAATGACCACCAGGTTGGGTCCAGCGTAGGTATGTATCAGGTTGGCTGCATACCGCTGTCTCAAGGTGTGAAGTACACTTGACTCATTCAGATACCGCAGTGAGGCCAGATCCTCTGCCCTGTCAAATTGGGGTGGGTTGGCCTGAAATAACAGAAAACAACTAGTGAAATTCTGTAGTGATAGATTTTTTGTTAAAGATGCCCCAGTAGCAAAGTGGCTAGACATTTTGCCTGCTGGTCTGATAGTCTTGGGTTTGAATCTGCATAGTGAGATTTTCGTTCATAAATGACCTTGGCCCTAGGCCAAATAGCTACCAGGTAATGTCCTGGGAAGTAAAGGCAGTCAGCATTATGACAACTACATCCCTTACAGAGTGCTGACTGATCTTAGTGTAAAAAGAGTTCTTTTCTTTACTTAGATATTCTTAAGGTAGGGTGACTTTGCGCTATATACAAAAAATACATACACAATGTTCATTGACTAAAACTCTTGTTCTTGTGGACTATGCCATGTGTCACTGATAACCATAATTTTCCATAGCTTCCAGTAAAGTGAACCGGCAATCATGTTTATTCAAATATTCTTCAGTGACACAATACCATTTATCATGTAGCAGGTCCTTTGCAGAACGTCGCTCTCATCACAATCTGTCTAAAAGAAACCCGGGCTCACGCCAGTTCTCCTGCCTCATTTACTTTCACACTCAAGGAGTCACTTATATTCTGTGCCCATCTTCCTGTTGGTCGGCCCCTGCCCCTCCTTCCTGGTACTATGCCTTCTGCTATAATATTTTCCAATCCGTCGTGGCGCTTGATATGAGCAAAATATTTCAGCTTCTGAGTCAGGATACTGTTTATTAGCCAATCTTCCTTGATGTTCAGATCTTTCAAGATGTCAGTATTTCTCCTCTTCTTTAGACAGAATACCAACTAAACTACTTTTTTTCTTGATCTCCTTTGGCTCTCTTCCCCTTTGTTTTTTCCATGTCATGAAGTACTCCAGTTCTCTTTCTCAAGACATATCCAATGAATATGAATGGGGTTTTCTTGATGTGGGTAACCACTTCTTTGTGTGACGAGAGCCTGCAGATGTCATAAATATATTCAGATTCATTTATAAAAACCAAGACATAACAAATACAATCACAGCACATACCACACACCACACACCACAGCACTGGTGTAATATGAGGGCTGTTCACTGGTCGAGGAGACAGCACCACATTCCTCTGGGAATTGAGTTGAGACAAGAACTGACATCAAAGCACACGGGGCATTTCCATGCATGCTCCGTCCTCATCTTTAGCAGCCAGCTTAGAGTTCCAATACTGATGGTACCGGTCACAATCTGGTTATATGTCCGTCTTGCCTTTCCTCTGAGTGTAGTGAGCCGGCCAGACCCTCTGGCTACACCCAGGTGCCTCATTCTCTAAAGGCCATAATAATCTTGTTTCTCTACTGATTCCGTTGCTTGTTCCCAAAGGGCCTTGACCACATCTGCCTTATCATGTATCAGTTCACCACCCAGTGGTGCAAATCCAGCCAATCTGTCTGCCTGTTCATTGCCTACTAAGCCGGCATTGCCTGGAGAAAAGATCCAAAGTATGCTCACTACCTGTGACCTTCCCAGTGAAGCCTTCCATCTACTCGAAGCATACCTGTCTTCACTTTTCTTAGCATACTTTCAGAGTCTGTTACAATTAAGACATGTGTATTGTCATCCCTGTCTTCACCTTTCTCAGCATACTTTCAGAGTCTGTTACAATCACTCCATGTGTTTGTATCTTGTTCTCCAGCCACCGGAGAGCTGCAGTTACCACCTCCACCTCCTTTCTAATGCTAGATGTTTTGATGTTGTATGCTAGGCTGTCTTGCACTAAAGATTTTCCATTTTCCTCTGGGAATACCACCCAATTCGACAAAGTTGCTGAATATTTAAATCTATTTTATTACATACTTCCACTCTGTGTATGGGCAGAGATGATGAACTCTGACATGGCCTGTACGTCAGTATATGGCCGCTACATACAATGAATTAATGTTACATTGTAACATACTGCAGGTTCTCTGAAAAGATTGCAGTCCCACAACTTAATAATCAATGCCTACACAATCAGACTCCCAGACAATGTTGCAGACGTAAAAAAAAAAAAAAATTGCAATCAGCTTTAAATACAATGTTGTAGATGTCATAAATAAAATGAGATTCATCCACAACAGCACAGAAGTAACATACAAAAAAAATTTACACACAACAGTACAGATGTAAGATACAAACAGATTCATAACATAGAAATAGATTCGCTGTCAACGGTCCAGATGTAACATACAAATAGATTATAACATAACACTCCAGATATGACAATCGATTACACACACAACAGATTAGATTTACACACAACAGTACAGATGTAAGATACAAACAGATTATAACATAGAAATAGATTTGCTCTCAACAGTCCAGATGTAACATACAAATAGATTATAACATAACACTCCAGATATGACAATCAATTACACATACAACAGCTTATATGTAACAAACAGTTAAACACACAACAGCCCATGTGTAACAATCAGATTTACACACAACAGCCAATGTGTTGTCACACTAAACAGGCCATGTGTAAAAATCAGATCAAAACACACCAATTTTTTGAGGCCTTAGAGATGTAGTTTTAAAGAAGAATTCTTAAAATTTTTTGCACAGCCAAAAATAGCAACGAATAGGTTTTTAAAGAGACTGCAGCCCGAAGACAACTTATCAAAAACTTTAGAAGGAGACAATCATCATTTTTCGGCCATGTTAAGAGAAAAGGGAAACTGGAACATGTTGTGACCACTGGAAAGAGCTCTGTTAGGGATAGAGGAAGACAACAAAAGAAGATTCTTGACAGTCTTGTTGCATGGCATGGAAGTGTGTCAGCACATGAACTGATACATGCTGCAGGAGATCGCAGATTGTAGAGAGGCATGATTACCCAAGCCAGTTGGCAAGGCACACACCAACCCAGAGGTAACAATCAGATGCACAGACTAAAGCTGTCTACTGACCTTCTCAATATCATCCTCGTCCACTTCAATAATGTCCCCAGTGTCCAGCTTCACCCTGACCCGTCCCTCAGGCAGACTGGTACTTTCAGACTTGAGCTGGTAAACTTCCAAAAAGCCACCACGATGAACCAGCCACACTTTCTCTGTTTCCAGCCATTCCTGTGCTGACTTGACATCCTCTTCATTCCGAGCCTGCCATTGGAACAACAACAAAAATTTTTTTTAATTTACATACAATTAACAATCTCCCCTTATGTAAACAGAAAGAATTCATAATAAATCTGAAGTCACCTGGTAAGTCATGTGATTATTATGAACTTCTAACAAGTAGATGAAAAATGTATCTAGAGAGACCAAGTATACTTCTGAGGAATTCAATCAGTTTTTGTGCTTCATTAGATGCTGATGTAACTATGGAACAATGCACCTGACAGCAAAATATGCCAGGCAATAAATTGTGCAGTATACTGTTTGTGTCCGCATTATTTAAAAAAAATTATACAGTTCAATTTATGATCTCCCTGTGTGGTTCCGGGGCCCTATGATAGGGAAAACAAAAACAGATCCACTCCCTTCCCAAAAGCATGTTGTGAGAGTTGATTAATTAGCAGCTTCCTTCCAAGTCAGAGTACATGTGCCTTAAACGCAAGGAACCAACAGTCTGCACACCAATGAGTCAGATCTGTCAAACGGATGCACACATAACACTCAGGTTCTGAAACGGGACTGCAGTCCAGAAGTGGACGAACAACCAGAACTTTCTGCTGCAGTTTGCAGCCGGTGAACGCAAAGAAAAAGAAGAATTTATGATCAAAGGCTGGAAACATGTAAAATGTTAAACCTACTCCTAAAGGTTTCGAGGTTTAAAGACAAGAGGATCAACCCGACTGTCGTGGGTTTGATCCCATATGACTTGAGTCTCACTCTTTAGAACGGCTAGCCATCTGCTGAGAGTACTGCACAAACTGCAAACGCTATAGCTGCAGCAACAACTCCCGGGGATCTTCTTGAAACTCCTAAATCAAGCCATGCAGAATCTATGAAACGTCTTCTTCTTTACCAGCTATAAACACTAGAAGAAAGTTCTGGTTGTTCGTCCATTTCTGGATTTTGGTCTTGTTGCAGAGCTTGAGTTGTGAGTGCACATCCGCTTTACAGATCTAGCTCATTTTAATGCAGGCTGTTGGTTCATCGCCTCAGGCAGACTCACTCCAACTTCAAAAGGAAACACTCCTAATTCGTCAATGTTTACAATTTGCTTGTTAGGAAACAGTGGATCTATTAACCCCCCCACACACACACACACACACACACATCTTCCCAAATAAGACCCCAGAATTCACACGGGAAGATTCATGGTCAAAGATGAAGACATGTAAAATATTCAACTCACTACTAAAAGTTTAGAAGCTGAAGCCGATAGAATCAACATTAAGGCACAAGGTTTGATCCTATATGGCTCAGTCTCACTCTGCTAAGTGGTTAGCAGCATCTGGAGCAGAAGGCAAAGTCTTAACCACTGATCCACGAAGATCAGTCAAAACCTTACTGTACTGTCTTCCCCCTAGCACTGAGTTAGTCTGTTGGTAATGAAATAACTCCTTTGGGAGATTTGCTCCACTGACAAATGTGATGACAAGACTGCTGTTGGAGAATGTGGAATGCCTGGAGAGGTTAGCCGTACAACAGATGAGGCACGCAGAGAAATAATGCAATATGCTATCTGTACAGAAAACAGAGTCTTACAAATTTTCTGGTGGTGGTGGGGTAGGGGAGTGGGGTAGGGGAGTGGGAGAGGTCTCATTGGGTTAAAGCGTTTATAACAGCTTAAAAATAATATTAATAACAATAACAACAACAATGTACTAAATGGCAAAGTTAAAATATGCGAGGGAAAGTCAATATGTATTATCTACACTTTTGAGATAACTATTCTTACATTGTCCTCACTGACATCTATCCTCGCTTATTTTATTGTATACTGTTGTGGTAATGCTATGAAAGATTGATCCTAATTCCACCATTTTTCTTCTTACTGTTGCAGATAGATCATGGCCACTCCATTAGAAGTTTGCACCAAAGAGGAACAACAAGCAGTAATCGATTCCTCTGGTCGGAGGGTGTGAAAGGTTCTAAAAATTCTTCGTTAACTATCACTGAAATATGGGGAGAGTGCACTATCACGCTAAACTGTGTTTTCGTGAATCAAAAAGCTTAAAAGTGGTCGAACAAGGGTAAAGCATGAAGAGGAAGCCACTTGTGATGAGGTGCTTTGCATGGTCTCCAGGAGTACATTGGGGCAAGCGGAAAGTCCGTGCTACAAGTGACGGCACGAGATATTTGTGGCCAGTCGAGTAAGCGAGGGAAAGCCCGAGCTAGCCTCGTGGTCAGTGGTTACCAGAAGTCGTAGAAGACAGTTGTGTTAATAGAAGATGTAGTTCTTATGTCGTGCTATTTGACCAGTGTTTGAATATGTTGCAAGCGATGGAAGTGTGAATAATTGTTGGAGCATATGGAATAAATGTAACGGAATAAACTGATAGTATGTACAAGGAAGCTGAGTGGCGTTGTGCAAATTATGCTGCAGTAATTATAGAAAGTGAACCATGGCGAAAACAGATATGTCGTAAACCAAGGCATATTTCAAGGTTCATTCCAAGTAGCGTTTCAAAGCCAGGACTCATTCCACCACCCCACTACAGATGACAACATTCACCAAGTTTGAGAGATGGTTCTGGTGAACAGGCAAATTACCATCGATGAGATAGCATCTGCGCTATACAATAATTCTGGTTGTGCCCTTGAAATCATAAAGTCTGTGCACGGTGGGTACCAAGAGCTTGTTAATCTTTCAACAAAGTGCATTGATAAGGAGAGAGATTACGTAGACAAAAATGATGTGCATCGTGAAACACTAGCTTCATGTAAATAAATTTTAGAATGACAAGTGTAAATAATTTTTGACTCTCCCTCATATATGTGTGTGTGTGTGTTTGCGCGCGTGTGAGCATGGTTTGGGGAGGGGGGCAGGTACGCCTCCTTACTCTGCAAGTGCGAACTTCTAGGATATTGTATGGTACTTTAATTTCATACATCTTGTCGGCTTCAAGGTTTCGTAGGAAATTCCTAGGGATCCCTAGCTGTTCCTTGGACAGTAATCTAGTAATCTGGTACCAACTATATTGTGGAGTTGGGGTGTTTAGGGTTAGTGTTAAATGAATAGCCACTACTACTAAGCCTAACCCTAACCCCCCTATACTACAAGACATTCTGGGAATTTCCCTACCAAATCTCAAAGCCAACAGACATGGTCGTATAAAATTAAAGTACCTATTGCAGGACAGTGAACGGCATTTTGAGTAATGTCCACTGGCACAGCAACTGAGCGGTTCAGGAGTGACACCTCTGCTGTGAAGATGGAACTTCGACTAAAGCCTAATGACTTAATGATTCCGTGAATATTATAAACAAGATCAATATACGAAGAGAATGGCAGCCAACTGAATTATATCAATCATTATAAAAAAGAATGCTTTGTATCAATATCTTCGTGTTTATCCTGTGACATGCCAACGAACGAGCCGATGCCACTGCAAGCAACGCCACAAGGAGAAGTGAACTTTCAACAGAGATACAGTAAGTTATTATTAGTAACAGGAGTTAAAAAGCTCAAACATGAGGATAATGATTGTTCCCTGACTCGGGTGCAATCACGGGTGCAATCACGGAAATGCAACGGGCACACAAGAACCCACACTCGCAACATCAACCAATACAGAATGAACAAACAAACTTTATTTTCAAAGGGTTAGGAACTGGGCTTCAGAAGTATGATCACAGAAGATGGTAGAATTGACAGAGAAAAAGAAACCAGATGTCAGAAAGCAAGTGCACTTATTTACCAATTGTCACCATTATTAAGACATCCAAGCATAACTATGAGTGCAAAGAGACAGATTATTAACAGCATATTCATTCCAACATTAAGCTACCAGTGCCAGACATGGACACTATCTAAAGCCCATAGACGCAAAATCACCACCTGCGAGATGAGATGCCTGAGAAAAGTAGCCAACCTAACCATTTGAGATCAGGGGAATAATGACACTATCAGGCTAATTGTGGCAACCACAGCTTGCACTAGATTCATCGAAAAACAGCAGATCAAGCGGTTTGGCCATCTCGTTAGAATGCAACAAGATCAAGTACCATCACAAGCACTACATCTAAGAAGATCAGCTACGAGAGCAAGAGGACAGCCGCGGAAATATGGATCGACAACATTACCTTCACGGCATGACAATAGCCAGTGGCAGCCAACCTGCACTGGATCGCAAATCATTCCTTTCAATGTCGCTTAACGGCAGAAGTGATTTATGATGATGATGATGAGGAACTGAGCATGCACGCCCGTCAACCATTTTTCCCTTCTGCCTAGAACAGGAGTGAGTACACGAAAGGACATGGTCTGGAGAATATCGGTACGCCTGACGTGCAATGAATCTGATCTTGTTCATAACAGTATATTCATAACAGTATATCAAAAGAATTGAAGCAGATAGGATTAACTAACCATCTATCATAAAACACTCCGCACACAAGAAATTAAAAATTTGCAGATGATCTACAACACAAGCCAGCTGAGTATGTTAATTAACTTCCAAGTACTTCCAGCTCAATACAATCCGAACAAGAGAACATTCTCTGACAAGCCAACAGTTGCAGCTGTCTTGAATGTTTTACCAATGCAAACTCAACAACTCACAGCAGAGACTGTCCCTGGGACCAGCCAAATAGTCAGGACACACAGGGGATGGCCTGGCAGGCGAGTGAGAAAGCACTGCTACTGGCTCGCTGGTCAGTCAGTCGAGGACACACTGCTGCACTGGAGGAAGCCTTGCTCTCTCTCTCTCTCTCTCTCTCTCTCTCTCTCTCTCTCTCTCTCTCTCTCTCTCACACACCCCCATCCATCCATCCATCCCCACCCACCCACACACACACACACACACGCACACACACACACACACACACACACACACACACACACACACACCTCCGACAAAACACATTTTCTAATCACATACTATATTTGTGCCTGTCGTATGTCGTGAACCCTCCTTCTCAAACATATAGTGCAATATACTGTTTATGTCCTCACAATTTCGATTAAGGAAAAAAATGAGTGGCATTTT